CCCCAAAACCCCAAAACCCCAAAACCCCAAAACCCCAAAACCCCAAAACCCCATGATAATTATAATTTCTTGAAACTTATAAAAATCACTGGAAAAATGACGGATATAAATAATATGCCTATACAAATCACAGCATCAACTTGGCTCAAAGATTCATTCGGTCTTTACGATTACAAATGTAAAGATATAGAAGTCAGAAACTTCAAAGGAGTCGGCAGTTTTCATATCTACAGAGATGAAGATAATGGTGTATATTGCTCATCTGAAGAGCTAGGACCAAATGATATATTACATGTTGCAAGATCAAAGGATTCGTACTATGTCGCTCCTTCAGGAATCGGAGACTCTTCAAACTATTATTGTAACCACTCTTGGAATTTAGTTAGAAATAAAGAAATTAGCAAACATGGATTTAGAGGAAAATAAGCTGGAAGTGGGTGTAATCCTCAAACTCGGCAGATTCATTTTTAAAGTGATCGATATTTCGAATAAAAATTCAGATAAAAAGGGATTGGCAGGAACTAATCTTGATTTGTACTTTGCTTCTTTGTTCCAATCTAGCCAGATGAGTATTGCAAAGAAATCCAAGCCTCTTGTAAAGAAATCGAGGAGAGGGCGCCACATTCAAAGTAGTAAAAATCAGCTATAAAAAATGAAAAGGAGGATTTTGTATGCAGAATTTGCTTGAGTAGTTCTCAGTCAAAAGAAGACCCTTTCATTTCTCCGTGAAACTGATCTGGAACAATGGGATATATTCATTATGATTGAATAAAAGCTTGGATGGACAGTAAGAAGACTATTACTGACAGAGGAAATTACGTAAGAATAACATGGAAAGATATAAAATGAGAATTATGAAAGAGTCCAGTAAGCTGAATGGAAAATCAAGGTAATTCCAATTAGTCTCCAAAAGCATACTTTTTCCCTTCCATAAAGATTTGGAATAATAATTGATTTTGGTAAAGTTGTAGTAGCTTCTTGTTCTTTTAAAAAATATCATACATTAAATTTACTACCAACTAGAAGAGGAGAGAATTATATAATTTGTCAAAATGTTAGAAAGAGAAATAATCAAGTTTATTTTCTCGAAGAAATATTCAAATCTTATTTACAAACCATTATCTGCTTTAACATTCATCTTGTTAGACAAATTATGGGTCCTAATTTTATAGCTTAATAAGGTATGAACATACAACAAGCTTACACCTACTTTATTGTTTTGTTTTTGATATTAATAAAGAAATTGATGAAAGCGATATTAGTACATATTAGCAAAATTTATCTTGGGTTTTTAAATAATTTGAATTCAGGCAACAATACTCCCCTTTCAACAGAGTTCGAAATATTTAATTTCCCTCGTCCTAAGAGTAACCATTGGGTGATGTTTGAAGCTCAGGACACAGAACATTTTGCAGATGAACAAGAGAAATCATACCACATCTTTGATTTTAGACATAAAAAGAACCTGATAGTAGGTAGAGGATATAAAGCAGACGCCAGGATAAACGATATCAGTATCTCAAGAATCCACGCCTTCTTAAGAGTAAGAGATAAAGAGATATGGCTTGAAGACGCTGACTCTAAATTTGGTTGTCTCTACTTGCAATAGATGCTCCTTATAATATCAAACCTGGGACAGAAGCTACATCTTTTCAGGTTGGAAGGACATTATTTCAAATCAAAGCAGTCAGATTAACATGTTTTGATAAGTTGCTGAGGCACTGTACCAACCAAGATAATATTATTAAAGGCAAAAATTTTAAGAAATTTAAACACGAATTTCCAACTCAGCTCCAGCAAAGTTGTTCAAACAAGAAACTTCGGTTTAAAAAAGTTTGTAATCAACCTTTGGATCCTGTGGATAGAGAATTTAACTCCATCGATAGTTACAGCGAGAGCTTTGCATTTGCTCAAAATCCAAGAGCTGTAGAGGATAGTCTGGAGACTTACTCAAACAATTTGGTAGGTTATTTGTGTAATATTTAGGATCATCCGATCCCACATATGAGAAGCTCTATTATCGAAAGCTCGCAGTAATCCTTCAAATCTTTTATAAGTCTATAAAATTTTAGCTATAACACATCAAATAAGGAAGAAAGCAAAAACTGGGAGCATTCGAACTCTCATGTTGAGTTTGTGAAAAGTGAAAACAGATGGGGTTGTAAGATTTTTAGAAAAGTGAAGTTTTCATACTTCTTTAACCCAAATTTTACTGTAACAAAGGATCTCAGACTTTCCATAAAAATAGCTCTAATAATTTTATCTAGCAATTAAACCTAAATAATTTGCAATCATTCACAGTAAAGCGGGAGAAGAAAAAGAACATGCCTCTTAAAACGGTAGTTGTTGATAAATCTCGGACTGAGAATAACAGATCTGCTCTGTCAAGCCACCAAAAATTACCAAATTTTTCAATTGAGAAAAATAAAAGTAATATACCCAAATTCTCTTTTCTCAAAGTGACTCACAAAGAAGGTAAGTTCAAAATGGTCAAATTGAACATAACGTTTAGAAAATAAAAGCCATGATGACCAAGAAGATATCCTTAACAGCAATTTTGTAGATGAACTATTGAAAGACCCTATCATCGGATTTGAATACCCAGAGTCTGAATCTCGCTTTGTAATGAAACCTCTAAATAACCTAATGCCGCCATCACAAAATTTAAATTAGACTAATTAAAACTAAATTCATCTGTATCTTCAGCTTATTTTAAGTAAAGTGGGGTTTTGGGGTTTTGGGGTTTTGGGGTTTTGGGG